AAAATAACGAGAAAAACATTTTAAATAACATTTAAATTGAAAAAATAACATTTTAATAACAATAAACGAATCATTGGTCGATTTGTTTGATTGTGATGGCGTGGTGTTTGCAATTCTTTTCACAAGCACGACAGTTAACACACTCTTCACCAAAGACCACAACCGTTTTGGGGTGCCCATCTTCTGTTAGGTGAACTTCATAAACTCCCATTGGACATACAAAACTGCATTGTTCACAGCCTACACACTTGTCTTCGTCAATGATGATTTTGTGTGTGTTTTCGATATTAGTATACTCGACAATTCCCATTGAAATGGTTTAGAAAAGAACAGATAAGGTTGTTTAAATAGTAAATGACACAACGACTCTAAAATAAGGTAAATTTTTTAAACAGCATTGATACCGTTTTGTTGGAAAATTGTCATTATAAATCAAACTGTCCAAAAACTAACTAATAAAATCAAAATTAACCAATTTAATTAATGATATAGTTATTATAATTATTTTAATGGTAATACGCAACAATTATAATTTAAAATTTGATTTTAATTGTTTCTTTAGACTCTGATCAAACACATTAATAATTATTATCTTATTTTACACTTCATATTAAAAAAACAAAACTCTTTTTTTTTGTGTTGTTCAAACTTCATGTTTTTAAGGAGTTTTACCTAAAAAAGGAATTATTCGCAAATTTGTAAAAGACAGTTATTTTTATTAATTAAATATGGTTATTTTACTATTATTAATATATAACTGAATGAATTGCTAAAATTGATCACTTTTTGGGATCGGTTTATTGAACGAATTATTTAAACTATTTTTATCTATTTTTTTTCTTTTATTTTAATAGAGAACAATTTGTTTTTTTTATTTTATTTTAAATAAATTAAAAATGTCGTTCTAATATAATAATTAATATCAATTGATATTGGAAATAATTAATGATAAGATATTTTGTTAAATTATAAGTACATATTTGTTGGTTAATTTATCATTTACAAATTAGAAATGGTGAATTTTTATTAAAATGTATTATAAATTTTTAATTAATTGTTGATTTTGAACTAACAAAAGTTTAACTGTCGGCAAAAACAACATTTTGGTAATAATGTTGTTGATGGAATTATTTAGAGTTATTATAAGTTTTTTAATTATAATAAAATAAAAAAAAACATTATTATTAATATTTTATTATTTATATAGTTAATGATTAATTTTTTCAATTATAACAAAATTAAATAAATTAACTATTTTTATATTATTAATTTAATAAACATTTTTTAGAATAATAGTAATTTTAACATTATTATAATAAAATAATTGTGTTTAAATAACTCATATCTAATCAATAATATTTCATTGATACAATTAAAAAATTTAATATCTGTAATATGAAATTCTAAATAACACATCATTTTATCAAATCTTTGATTGGATGTAATTCAATTTAATTTAAATATTTAATTTAATCAATAACTATTTTATTAACTATATTTTTATAATTTATTACTAATATAAATTTTAATAACGAAACAACAATAAAATTGTCATTAATAACTCTTGTTTTTTTTATCCAACAAATCATATAACAAATTATATAATTATAATAGAAGTATAGTTTGAACCAATCTGAGCACAAATTTCTCACCACTTATAACTATTAACTACTAGTAAAATAATAATAAAAATAATTACCAATTGATCAATAAATAAACCAAAGAAACCAATTTAGGTTGGAGAAAAACTTAAAAAACGGAACTAAAAAATTGTACTAAGTGAATGGATTCTCTTGAGCAATACGTCCTCGAACCAACAGAAGAGTTTATTACAGACAGCAAACGTTTTATTACCAAATGCAATAAACCGGACAGGAAAGGTTTGTTTAGTCGAGCGTGGAATGCAAGAAGAACTCAATAATAGAATATACAAAAACAGTATACGCCGTGTTGATCGGATTTGCCATCCTCGGCTTTTGCGGATTTCTCATTAAGCTGATTCACATCCCAATTAAGAGTATTTTGACGGCTTGAACTAATTAATTGACGATTGTCATTCTTTTTGTCTGTTATTAAATTCGTCACCACTTTTGACGCTCCTTTGGGTCGAAGGGACAATTTTGAAGTTCTCCGGCTCGTCCTATATTTTTTTTCATTCCGCCTTGTGTTCAAAAGTATTAATTTGATTACTTATTCTTATTAGTATTTTTATTAAAGTTATAATCTTATTTATTTAAATTAGTATTTATAGTTAATTAACTACTATTTTTTGTTATAATAATTATGAGTGACAAGAAGATTGTGTCTTGACAAAAAAGTTGAACATTTTATTATTAAATGTATTAAAATATATATTATTATATAGTAATTATATTATATATATAAATAATATATACTATTAATGTGTGAAGACAACTTTTTTTCTAAACTAAATAAATAATTCTCAACACATAAAATAACATTGAACATTATTATTTAAGTGGTCTAAAAATCGGGAAATCTTGAATTTATATTATATTTTTCCGTTTTTTTAGAAATTTATTATGTTTATAACATTACACAAACTAAAAAGAAACAAACAACCTAAAATTTGATTAATATCCCTGTAAATACTGGTGAATTCAAAAACAAAAACGTTATTTTAAGTATTAACATTGTATCAATTCTAATTGTATTTAAATATCCTTTGAATTTAGGTTAATTAATTTTATTTAATAAATTATAATAAGTTATTAATAACTTACTAATTTTTAATAATTAACATTTATTATACTATAGATAATTTTTTATTCTAATAAATACTATAAATATTAATTAAGTTTTAAATTATTTTGAAAGAGCCAAAGACATACACATTCAACAATAAAAAAAAAATATCAAATTTGAACATTAGAGAATAGAAATGTTTTTGTTACATCAAAACGTCCGTTATAACAACAATAAAACCCATAAGAAAAAGTCGTACTACAAACCACGAGAAAACAAAGTGAATTAAAAACACCAAATTACCGACAAAATGATTCAAATGAGGCAATGAATAATAATTCAATTCCATCTGCCATCTATTTATAGTTCTTTTTGTAGCAAATTTGAAGTTGTGGTATCAACTTAATATAAAGTTTTCCAAATCAGTAATCAAGCAATAATTTCCACACAAAAATGGCCAAACATCCTCAACAGACTTAATCTAGTTCTACGTAGTATACTGTCCATTTGCCCTGTTCTACAAAATTATAAACAATTCTATTCGATTTCTGGTTGTATCTTGGACATTTTCCTTTTTCTTGTACCATTTTCGATTATTGTGTAACATCAAAGCACTTTTGTTCACTTCCAACGACAAAAATTAATAAATATAATAAATCAAACTACAAATGTATAATAAATTAATAACACAAAAAGAAAATGTTCAAATTTGTGTATTTTGGTGTATGAAGCTTTGTTCCCAAACACTTTAATACAGAAAAGCTTTTCATTTCTGAAGACAAGTTAAATTGTCCGACTTTGAGCGAAACGGTGACAAATTCATTGGATTTGTCATTGAAAAAAATATAGGTTTTGTTCAGTAAATAACAGTGGAGATTGATTCGAATGCATCGGGATAATAAATCATCCCGATTTTGTGGCAGAGACACATCCTATTATATTTCACAAAGTGGTGATTCATCTGAAAATAAAACTCGTCAACTTTTTCCCCATAAATTGGCCCAACAGTCGAAAGACATTCCTTTCTTCCCAAAAATGTTTTATTAAAAAAACAACTACAAAATTGTTAATAAAAAAATTATATAAAATAACACTTTAATTTGTTTATTTAAAAATGGGACGAGTTTCGAAAATAGAATTGATATAATAAAAAATAGAAAATGAACTGTTGGAATGTTCGACGGGAGGAAAACAAAAACCAGAAATAGAGCAGGCAACGACGAGTCCAAAATATGTGGGGTGAACCACGTGAAGTGTATTTGGGTCTATTTTTTCAAAGAATTTGGTATTGTCAAATAGCAACCCGCCCCGACCCCATTAATTCAATTCAATGACTTCAAAACCAAAGAAAACTAAAAATAAAACCATTAAATACCATAAAAAAAGAAAAAGATTTGGCTAAAGTCGTCTTTTGGTACTTTTAATCAAAAAGTGCCTATTGTGGAGATTGAGCCGGATTCAGTGATTTTCGTTGAAAAAAAGGTGGGAAAAATATGACCATTTCTTCGTATTAAAACAACCAACTCAAAAGAACACATAATGACAAGAAACAGCACAACTATCACTTCACAAGGAGATGGCGCAATAGAATACAGAAAGTCGGCATCAAATTCACTCAAAACGTCTTCAGACGACGGCGAAAAGAAGCCAAGACACTGCAAGTACTCTGCTTGTGTTGAAAAAAAATTCCCAAAGATCAGAATCTCTCTTGAAGACTACAACCACCTCAAGAGCATCAGGCAGAAATACCACTTCAAATCATTCGGACAAGCAATTGCGAAGGTCCTCGACGTGTACAGAGACCAACTCGATGTCGCCATCAACGCTTGAAGCGTTTTGTTTATGTTATATTGACTTTATTATTTTGTTGTTGTTTTGTTCTATGGAAATGTGTTCAAATAATACTGCACAACGAAATAGATTGATCTTAATCTGTTTGGGTCTGTCCACACCAGCAAACTTGATATCAACAATGGTTTACTCAAGTAAGATGCTTGTAGAACTGTATTACAACAACACGCATCGCGTCGGAGAAATTCGGATTTGACTTTCCAGCCAGTTCGTCGGCGTCACCCATTCCAATATAATACTCGTCTATGTCCTGTGCAATACGGACTTTTCGGTTTGTGTAAAACATGAATCTTGCAGTTTCAAAAAAGATGTGTCCTTTCCCGTGTAACTTAATCGAATTAAAGCACTCATCACGTTTCTCTGGGAAATACCTCTTCTGCTTTATCACGCCTTTGTGTTGTAAAGTGAAAATGAAGTAATGAGTATCAGTCACCCACTTATCCAAAACAACAACGGGTTCTTGCAAGTAAATACCAAAGACATACCCCCCATCGCCATACACAAACACTCCGATATTCTTTTTGAGCAAAAGCGCTGAAATGATGTGGTCTCGAGTCAATTCATCTTTATTTGTATCGAAGATTTCTATACATTCGCTCATATTGATCCACAACTTGAACCCGTCCATACACATCCATATGGGGTCGTTTGTGTGATTTAAGAAATCGTCTCCTTTCCACGTGTGAAGTGACACCGTTATAACTTGGACTTCCGGGTATTCCTTTTTTAACGCCAAAGTGTCCAAATTTTCCATCTCTTTTTTAAATTCGCTTTCTCGTTGTTTTTTCATTTCCTTTATGATCTCCTCATTCTTTTTCTTGGATTGTACTAACTTCTCTACAAAGTTCCTCTGCTTCTCCGTCTCCTTCTTGACCTTCTCGACAATCTTTTCCATACAGACGTTTCTCTCATCAATGATTTTCTCAAGGACTTCAGAAATACGCCTCGTTTTCATTAACGTTTGTTCTAAATTGTCTCCTTCTTTGTGTTCAGTTTCCTCGAAAATCTCCTTCATCTTCTCTTCTTGCACTTGTTTAAGTTCCTCAATACGCCTTTGTATCCTGTGCACCTCTTCGATATAGCCACTTCCCATACGGTCTGCCATCAAACTTGACATGAGAAACTCGGCTTCCATCGTTTTATTTCCTTCATTTTAAAGCCTTACATGTTTTTTCATTCCGACTTTCCTTTCATTTGAAAATGAGATTGAGTTGTTATTTAGTTTTAAATAATACTTCAGAATATTTATTGTTAGAACATAGTTATTATATTTTTTATTAAAATGAGATAATAAAATTTATCAATATTTATTATAATTTGCTAATTATAATTAATTATACAAAAACAATAATTAAAAAAATACTTCACAACAAAAAACTCTATTTTTATTTTCAGTCTTAAAAATGCCCGTTACTGAAAAAACCCGCTCTTCAAAGGTATTGCTCTTTGGAAATATTACTATAATACAAAATAAAAATAATGAAAATAGTATTTATGACTTATCAGAAGATCTCAATACTGTATTATATTTTAGAGGTGATAACTTAAATATTAAATAATTCAAAACTTGGTTATTCTTAATGGAAAGGATTTGTAACAGTTCCACCCGCCATCCTATAAAGTTTTTGATTACGTTGTTGGAGTGTGTCAGGTACGTTCATGATTTGATTTTGGTTTTGTGCAAATGCAGCAAGTGAACCTTGTTGTTGTGGTTGTTGTTGTTGGGCATAGCTTTGTTGGAAGAGAGCGTAATCTGGTTTATAAGTATTGAAAAAATTGGGTTGAGATTGGGTATTAGTTTGTTGAGCATAATGAACATTTGGGTTTATCCCCGTTTGGGCTCCAAGTGGATTCGACATATTAATTTGAGTTTGCACCCCCAATGGGTTATTATAATTTGTTTGTTGTTGAGTATTAGGTTGTTGAGCATAGTTTACGTTTGGATTAATGCCCGTTTGAGCTCCAAGTGGATTCGACATAGTTATTTGAGTTTGAACACCCAAAGGGTTAGTGGTAGTTGCTGGTTGGGTGTAAAGTGGATTCTGTGTATTCGTTTGTGGTTGTGTCGTATTGATTAATGGTTGTGTTTGAGCTCCGAGAGGATTAGACGTATTTGCCTGATTTTGAACACCCAATGGGTTAGTGGTAGTTGTTAATGTTGCTGGTTGAGTAAAAAGTGGGTTCATTGTATTTGTTTGTGGTTGTTGTGTTGTATTGTTAACCAATGGTTGTGTTTGGACAGTAAGTGAAGTATTAGATTGGTTCGGTTGTGGTGGATTGGCAGTTGATGTATTCGAACTCGGTTGCTGAGGTTCACTTTTTTGTGTTTGAACAGCAACTTGAGTGTTGGGTTGGGGTTGTGTTGAAGTCTCGGTTTGAGTTGTTTGGGCATTAGGTACATCTTTTTTAAAACTTGACAACCAATCGGCGATTTTATTATTGTTTTGACTTGTATTGTCTTCTTTGGATTTAGTGTCTATTGACGAAGAGACAAAATTTTCAAATGGATTGGAAGTGTTCACAGGTGGGTTTTGAACCTCTTTCTGTTTTTCGCTCTGTTGTTGAGTTGTGGGCTTAGTTGGTGTTTGTGTGATGTCTGCAAACCCTTTTGGAAAAGGCGGTACGTTTGCAAGTGGGTCCTTGTTTTGAGAACCAAATAATCCCATCGGTGTTAGTTCGTTCTTCGATTGTAACCGATCCAATAAAAGTGTATTTTGAGTTGTAAGCGTGTTAGGTTGGGTAACTGTTGTTGGTAATAAAGTAGTTTGTTTCACCCCTGTATTTTTCGTTCCCAAAAGTTCTATCTTTCCGCCTTTCTCAATCTCGCTTTTCATTTTTTCTACTTTTTCTTTCTTCTCCTTGATTTTCTCATTCGTTCGTTCCAGCATTTCAAGTTCCTTTTTCATTTTCCCCCAACTTTCCTCGATATTTAAAACCCTCTTCACTTCAGATTCAAACCCTTCCCGACTTCCCATGACGGGTACATTTTCTCGAACTTTAATTTGGAAGATTCCGTCCTTCTTGACCAATTGGAGTGGAGACGTTTGAAGAGATTTGAATTGAGCGATCCGTCCATTAGTCTTTTTAATTTGTGAGATGATTTCAAAGAACGCCGTTTCGTCACTTTTCATTCCGACAGCGGCGGCGAACTGAATGGAATCTTCGAGAGTCTTCTGGACGTTTTGGATCTTCTTTTCTTCGACGAGAAAGGCGTTGTGAGCTGATGTGGTGATGGTAGAAATGGACTGTGAAATAGCACCCCACTTGTTCATAGAAGACTCAGTCAACTGCTTTATTGTGGAGATCTGCGAGTGAGAGGACTGAAGAACACCCGTCAACAACTGAAGCTCATTTTGCTTTTGTGAAAGAATCGTTTTGACTTGGTGCGACTTGGATTGAATCTCATCTAAAACATCCTCCGCTGCTCCAAGACGAGTTTCTAAAGACTCACATAACGTTTTGAAATCGTTCAATGTCATTTGACTCATTCTTTGTTCTGTTTATTTCGTTCTCACTTTTGATTTCAAATAATTGAATTTGAGTGATGAAAGAATTTATTATAGTTCATGTTACTATTTATTACTAAATAAAATAAGTCGTTTTTTATTTTACATTATTAGTAAGTTTATAGTTTATTTATTTATTTTTTATTGTTTTATTTAAGGGTTTGTATAGTATTATAGTATTATAGTATTATAGTATTATAGTATTATATATTTATTTACTACATACCTACAAAAAAAACATACAAATAATAATATAAATTTTAAAAATGTGTCAATTTTTGGTGATATAATTGAAATAATTATTTTAACCATAACTTACTATATTATAACAATACTATTGAAATAAATTATATTATAAAGCAACAACAAAAAAATAAAAAAAATAAAATAGTTTTCTTTTAGTTGTTAAATTATTGTGTGCTATTAGATGGGTTGCTATCAGAAACTTCAGTAAGTTGCTCAGCACAGTCAATGATGTTTTGGTCAATAACAGTCTCATCCTCTTCAGTTGATCCGTAAACCAATTG